GCTCTCTTGGATCTGTTGTTGTTGTTGTGGTTGTTGGCAGCCAGTTGGTAGGCTCTCTTCTGTTGCGAGTTCCTCTGTTGACTTTGGCAGCCCATTCCTCCATTTGTGGCTGTTGCTGCTGGTGGTGGCTCCATGATGCTGTTTGCTGCTGCTGTTTGCTCCTGCGAAATGACTGTCGAGTGGCTCTCCGGTGGTTGTGACGGTGGTTGTTGTCATTGTCGATCGATCGATCGATCAACGGAATCCGAGTTTCCTTGTTGTCGAAAACAGAAAATGGCGACTAGGTAGCACATTTGCTCTGTAATCTTTATAAATGGTACGTTAAGTATATTTGAATTTTTGTGACATACTTCCTGACGTATTAGCTTGACTAGCCAATCACATTACTGCCTTCTACCGCTTTCGCCCTGAAATGGTGTTCCTTGAGATGTCTTGTGCCAGTTTTTATTATTGATGGTTCACAGTTCACAAGGAAGCTAAGTCTCTTCACCACCGCTATCGGTATCGATAGCTACCGGTACATGTACAGCTACCGGTACCAGTACTCAGTACCGCTTGTACCAGTGTACCAGTTAACGCTCGGAGTCCCAGAATCTGGGAGTGGGGTCTCCCAGATTTTGGGAGTGGGGTCTCCCAGATTTTGGGATGATGACTCCCAAAATCTGGGAGACCCCACTCCCAGATTCTGGGAGTCACCCCTGCCAACTCGATACCTCTACCAGTAGAAGTACCTTTACTCTATGTTTACTCTATCAAGATGATGCTATCTCTTCTACATTACTGTAGTAGTAGTCCCTTGTTGTTTCATTAACGGTAGAGGCGTGCGTCGTCGTTCCGTGGAAGAGGAGGCGTCATGGTCGCTCCGATCGATCGATCGCTCCGTGGAAGAAGAAGAAGAAGTTGTCGGAAGTCCAACAGAACGACCGATCGTCGAACGGCTGTTGCTGCCGCTAGCCAAACAAGAGGAGCCTGTCATGGTGGTGAGTAGTAGCCTTTGTTAAGAGGAGTAGCCGCTGCAACAAGCGGTTCAACAGAACCTCCTTTGTACGTGCAGGCAGACTCATCAACCATCAGCATCGATTTTCCTGGAAGACAGGATATTCAGGTAGATGCGGGAATAAAATAGAAATCTGACCCAATATTTACCACACCTACCAAAAGAGCAGAATCTGGGAGTGGGGTCTCCCAGATTTTGGGACTCCGAGCGTTAAAGTTCATTTATTTATTTATTTGTGACCGTCAGTCTTGAAAATGCTCTGAGCGGTACTCAAATTCAGCTCATTGTGTCTCACCAGCACAAGCTGCTTTGACAGCCAGTTTTATCCAAGCGACAAGTTTGTCCGAGTCGAGTCCTCATATCCAACCCCTCTCCCGTTCCAGAACAAGGAAACCCAAGATGATTACGTTTGACTCGCTATCTAGCTAGCCAGTTCAGCTACGCAGCTATTTGCACTAGCTAGCGAGCTATAAAGCAGCAGCAAATAATATCTAATGTTCAATGGAAAAATGGTCTCCAAATGGGGTGGGACAACATTTTAAAACAGTGAAACCAGGGTTGTAAATACCCAACTTAACTTCTTTTAGTACAGGCCTTCTTGCTTGTCCTTTGGCTGCCTCCAGATAACTTTGGAACCGATCCAGTCTACCTTGATTATGTCTGTACTCCTCAGGTTCTGTCACCAATCTCCAAACTGCTTGATTCTTTTTTCGGTCCACCTTGAGAACTACATGCATGCCTGGTGGGGAGTTCCCCTCAATCCCATCATTTGGCCATCGTGGGAGCCGTCGAAAATTTGTTTTGCAAAAGGATTCTTCCTATCATTCCACTTGCAATCGGCTAGTGGCGGCACTTCCGGAGCTGGCTACGGTAGTAGCGGTGGTTGGCGCCATGGCTGCTGATGTCTTCTTATTTGCGGAAGATTTTTCGAAGAATGCGTTGCTACGCATACATGTAGTGTGGTTAGAAGATTATGGCAGTGGCTTGTTGATGGCTTTCAGGCTTTAAAAACTTTGGGAAGCACGGCGTTTCCTACTAGCTGACTGCAACTGTACTCCGTACCGGTAGCTCCAGCTACTGCTAACAGGTAACAGCCAATGCGATAATGTGATGAAACTAAGCAATGCAGAAGGATACCGGAATCACAGACAAGCAATTACCAGTGGCACCGGCACGGGCGCTCGCTGGATGGCCTCAACGAAGTGGGTCGAGTCTACCATTCTCGAATTCCACCGATTTCAATCTGCCAAAAGCACACCTATTTCAAGGAACAAACATATTGTTGACAATGCTACAAATTTAGCGCATTGTCAGGAACGACCATACCACGATGACAGCACCGCCTCCCGTCTGCTCAGCCAAGTTGAGCATCGTCGGGGCAGGTTAGTACTACGGTGGGGGGCCACGTCTTTTTGTTATTGTTTCGGACTGGGCTGCCACCAATCAATTCATTCGTTCTCGTCACATCACGGATCAAAGAGAGCCGCAACATCCAAAAGCAACGGCTTCGTGTTGGAATCCTAGCTAGCTAGCTGCTACAACTCGGCTGGGGTGCCACCAATTTGTTCTCATCACAGCATACATCATCTATCTGATACATGTGTACCGGTACGGTACTGGTAGAGACCCGCAACATCCAAAAGCGACGACTCGTCCAGCCTGCACAGACGCCCAGCCCAAACCAGAGCTTTCTGTAACTATGAATGTACCACGGTACCGGCGAACAGTGTCAGTAGATAAAGCGATATCGTGGACAAGCATCGTTGCAGCATACAATCATCATCGCGGCGGAAAGCAGCTCCATTGGGCCATTGGGGCAGTCTTTACAGTCCTACTTCTTGTACATGTAGGAGCAACAACACAGTGGTACTTTCTCCGGTCACTTTCGCTATGGTTTGGACTTCGAGCCAGCCAAGGATGCGGTGAATTGAATTTTCGAATTTACAATAATTGAGCTAATTTTGAAGCTTTTAAAGTTGAAAATGGGCTTTTTAGAGCGGAAGATTTACTGGAATCCAAGGATTACTTTACTCTCGTAGAGTAAGGGACACAGATGATTTGGAAGATTTTTAAAAAAGGGATCATCAAATTTGGAAAGATTGATACTAGGTACTTTTGGATTTTCAGAAAAAGGAAACTTTGAGGAAACATTAGTTTTCTAAATGAAAACGAGGGAACGAGGGTTATAATGTCACAAAATGGAAACGAGATACCGGACATTGTAGAAGGGGCAACGTCCTTTAACGCGACAACAGTCATGGTCTTTCTTGACATTTAGTAAATCAATGTCCGGTTGCCCCGATTTATTTATTGGTATAGGCTCTTCTCCTACCATTGGGAACCAAGGTTTAGTGAAAGTGACTATGAAACTGAAACGTGGGCCTGCCGGTATTTTGTTTAAGGATGTTACATTCTCTCCAAGGAATCACTACGGTAACCCATAATAGCTCCAATTAATATTCATCAAAGGTAACTTCTGTGCTAAGATGTGCACCTCTTCATTGGCTCATTATTTGGTGGTGGTCAAATTCTGGGAAAGGACGTCCTCGAAGGAATGGCCAACTACGACATGAAGCCTCTTCCATGTCGTCAAACTGAACCCAAACTGAGGGTCAGTATGTTCAGGAATTCTGGTTTATTATTTGATGGAATCAAGTACTCTCAATGGATTGGAGAGCACTTTCTGGGAGTTGCGTGTTTTTTGTTTGTTTGATTGCTTCAAATTGGAGGCAACGCTCTGCACCTTGCTTTCAAATGAGATTTCGAACCTGGGCTGGAAGGACAAACTCATGGTTGGGAGCTTGCACCTTGGTAGCCCATAACTGGAGATAGATGGGCTCAAGTCCAGAAAAGAAAGAAAAATGAAGCCACTAGTATTCTCCTTTACCTGCCAAATTTGCTGTATGCACAGCAGAAACAACCATTCCTTGTGAAATCTAGCTTCAATCCATGTCCATTTCACGTGAAAAACGGCCCCCTGTATGCAAGATTTCACTTACCTCCTTGCGGTACCAGAAGAAGTCCAGAAGAAGTGTTCAAGTGATTCTCCTTGACTAATAATTAACCGCAGAAGTTAGGACTTATTACTGGAAATGCCACCAACTGTTGCTACTTACCAGTGTGAACCATGAATCTTACAAGCAAAAGGCAAAAAGTAGTACACTTGGCATCGTTCCACAAGATTCTCGTGCTCCTAACTCCTAAAGGGCACTTTACGCACGATCCTCTTCTCAACTTCTCACTGTAAGAGTTACAGTACTCAGGCTGTACTGTACTTCGCCGTTTGTAAGTTTAAAAGTAACTTGCAGCCGATGAACCGACAATCCTTGGTCTTTTAGGCACAAAGCCACTGAATTTACTAGAGCAGGGAATTAGTGGAGGTCCCACCCTTCCTTTCTCCTGCCTCCTGTTGCATCCAAAGCTGCCGTCACTTCTTTGCCTCTCGCATTCGGACAATCGGCCCCGCAACACTAATAGATACTTCCGCTTCTCTCTCTCACGCTCATCATAATATTCTACAGCTAGCTAGCTAGTATCTCCAGTTGTTGGAGCCATTCCATTCCATTCCTTCCACATTTACCTTTGCAGCTTCGTTTCGTTTCAATTGAGCAATGTTCCCTAAAAGCAACAGTCAGGCCAAGCTCTACGCCAACACTAGCAACAGCACCGAGGACGACGACAGCACACCACGCCTCCAAGAGCACAAGATGAAAGAACTTTACAACGACAACAGCAACCAGGCCGATTTGGAGAACGACAGTATGTCGGACCACGGCGAAGACGACGAGTTGGACGAGACTGGGACACACGAAAACTTGCAGGATGCGGCCGCACGAGAGACCCGCGAAAGCTTGGCCCGAGAAGAAACCCGCGCCGTCTCGTGTCTGCGCTGGGTCGTCTTGTTGGTCCTCTTGGCAACAGCCGCGTCCGTGTCGGTGATTACCTTTTTCTACTCGAGACGCGTTGAAGAAGAACAATTCCTGGCCGAGTTTGCGTCCGTGGCGGCCATGACGTTGCGGTCGTTTGTGGAAGCGGTAGAGCACAAAATGGGTGCCATGGATACCATGGCCACGGGCATTACCAGTTACGCGCTGGCGAGTGGAGAAACGTTTCCGAATGTCACCGTACCCGATTATGAAATCAAGGGAGCCTCCATTCGCACTCAAACTGACAGTATCTATTCGTTTTGGTTGCCGCTCGTCACGGATGAGACGCGAGCGGGCTATGAAGCCTACTGCTGGCCTCGTCAACAACACTTTCTAAAGTCGTACATGCAGGAAGAGGGATTGAGACAGTACCAAGATGCCATGTTCAACATTAGTCGACCCGAAACACGATCCGCCGAAACCAAGGCAGAAGACGCCACGGCCAAAGAAGAACAGAGAATGGAGCAGCAACAACAACAGCAGAAGCACGATCACGGAGATGGCTCCAAGCACACGCACGGAGACGACGGATCTCGTCGTGACCTGCATGTGGCGCCTCCTCCGATTCACGAAACCCTGCATGAACGAATCTGGGGACTTACGGTGAGTATGCCTTGTTTTGAAGTTGCGGTTGACCGTAAAACGCTGGCTAGCTGTGCTTTGTCTTACCTTCTCTCTCTCTCATTTCCCTCTCCTACGGTACCTACTTTCAGCACTACGGCAATGGCTCGTACGACGAGCCCGAAGGATCTGGCCCCTTCCTCCCCACGTGGCAATTTTCACCCGTCATTCCCATGCCGGGCCTGTACAATTACAACTTTCTCGCCTACACGGACCTCGCTCCCGTCATGCGACAAACAATCTACACCGGTCGAGCCGGGCTCAGTTACCTGCAGACCAATCACACCGGGTCCAATACGGAGCGGCTCATTCAAATATTCATGACACTCAATCAGTACCGGCATACCGGAGAGGATTACACGGCGAAGTTGGATCCACTCACTCAAGTCACCTATCCCGTCTTTGACACGTTCCATCCGCAAACCAAAAAAGTCGCCGGGATGCTGACGACCACCATCTTTTGGCGTCTCCTCTTTGCCAATATTCTTCCCGCTTCTGTCAATGGAGTGGTCTGTGTCCTCAGCAATACGTTGGGCGATGCCATTACCTACCGCATTGATGGACGAAATGCCACACTGCTCGGCGTCGGAGATCTCCACGATCCCAAGTACTCGCACATGGGTGTCACCCGCGATATTGCCGATTACATGAGGGAACGAGCGACTCCCGAATCTTCCTCCTACACGATTGTTCCACTCGATACTTCCTACACTTCTTACAGAATCCAAGTCTATCCTTCCCAGGCCCTGGAAGATGCTTATATTACCGACGAACCCATCCTCTACGCCACGGTCGTCGCCTGCGTCTTCTTTTTCACATCGGCCGTATTTCTCCTCTACGATTGGCTCGTCGAACGTCGTCAGCGCAAGGTCATGGACAAGGCCGTCAAATCCACCGCCGTCGTCACATCGCTCTTTCCTGCGGCGGTCCATGAACGTCTCTTTGCCGAAGATACCAAGTCCGAAGAATTGAGCAAGGAAATTAATACGTGGAGAGCCGCCAGTGCCGATATGTCACTCAACGGTGGACAACCCACCGTCGCAGCGCTCATGTCGTCCGTCACGAGCAGTAGGGGTCGTGGGGCGCCAACGGCGGAGCAGCTCGTGATGCCTCCTCGTAACAAAAAGAGCAAACCCATTGCCGACAAATTCCCAGACACCACAGTTCTGTTTGCTGGTAAGAAGCTGTTCCTGAATGGCTGGACCGATTAGTGTTGTTGTTGTTGTTGTTGCCAAAGGAATCAACCCAAAAGACAGGATGCTCACTTGTTTTCTTCCATTGATGTTTCACGCCAAGATCTTGCTGGATTCACCCAGTGGTCGTCGTCCCGCGAACCCGAACATGTCTTTATCCTTCTGGAGACTCTCTATGGAGCCTTCGACAAGGTGGCGCTACGACGGGAAGTATTCAAAGGTGAGCAACTTATAGTGCTTGAAATCAATAAATGAACAAGCTTGGCACGGCCCAGCAAGTGGCAAAAATCATCCGGCTGTTTTCTCATCTTGCATATTTGCCATCTTGGTTACTTCTCCTCCAGTGGAAACAATCGGGTGAGTTTCAAAAGGACAAGGACAACCTTTGCAGGCGGAGGAATAACAAACAGCGGTGTTCCCCCTCACCTTGGATGTGTCTTCTTGTTCTCTTGTCATTGACAGAGATTGTTATATGGCTGTCACTGGTAAGTCCAACGGAACAGATACAGGATGCCTTGTAATTCGTGATGGAACAAGATCGCCCTCATTCTGGTCTCGAATCGTGCTACAGGCCTCCCCAACCCTCAGGTAGGTACAAAAGGATGCAGTCATTATTTCCTTTCGGATTCGATTCTCCTCGTGGCTAAATTCAAGTGTGCCATCTTCTCCTGCAATAGCCTGATCATGCCGTTCGCATGGTAAAGTTTGCGCGAGATTGTATGAATCGCATGGTTCGTGCGCTGGAAGACCTACAAATGCAGCTCGGTCCAGATACGCGGGATCTGGCAATGAGAGTAGGATTGCATAGGTACGCGAGATCTGGAGGACATCTTTAGCCCACATGCTCCTTTTTTGCTCACGGTCGTCCCGTCGTTGTCTTTCAGTGGCCCTGTCACAGCTGGCGTCCTCCGTGGAGATAAGGGGCGGTTCCAACTGTTTGGTAAGGTTCACGAGCCTTCTGTTGGAAACAATCAGCCTTGTCAGTCTTGCTAACAGCTTCCATCCCTTCTTCCTGCTGTGCAACAGGTGACACAGGTACGGCCTGCTGCCAGGAGGAGATAGAGTTTGCCACTCTTTGCTCGGTGCAAGATACTTGTTCCTTGCGTCGGCTGAATCTCATAATATTCCAATCTCTCTTTTGGTTTTCTAGTGAACACTGCCAGCCGCATGGAGAGTAATGGAGTGAAAGGCCGCATTCATTGTTCAGAAGCCACGGCAAAACTTCTCCCCGACCGATGGCTCAAGGTTCGGCCGGAAAAGGTCGTTGCGAAGGGAAAAGGAGAAATGACCACATATTTTGTGGACATTGGTAATGGAGCACGATCCAGTGTAGCAAGTGAGCGCTTTAATGTAGAAGACGGTCCCTTTATCAACGGCGCACTAACACCCCAGGATGGCGACCACACGGACAGGAACGACCTCACGGAAAGGAACATGGATGGATCCAGCTACACGTTTGATACTTCCAACCGAAGGAGCAGCCTGGATTTCAATAGCAAGAGGATAAGTGGTGATGGCAGCAGCGCTCCGCTGCCGATAATCAATCAAGAAAGCGATGAGATTCTGCACGACTATGGACAGGACTTGTCTGGTGACGATGACATCCTTGCGAAGAAAGGAGGCCACCAAAGAGAGCGCAGACTCTCTTTGACGGTCAAAACCAGCTCTGGACGAAAGTTAAATGTTACCAATGAGGTTGAAGTGTGATGGGTCCATTGTAGGGGGGACGATTACTGCCGATTCTATGGCTTATTACATAATTTTAATTCTTTAGTTTGATTTGGATACATGATATCATTCAATAAGGCTCTGGACCGTCCGACGGTTTTCGCTCAGGCTTTAAAACCTGCCACGACTGGTTATCTGGTTATCGTTTTTTTATTAAGGGCATGTTAAGGGCATTTTTATTTTAAGGGCATGTTTAAGGGCATGATGCCGATTTAAGGGCATGTTTTAAGGGCATGTTTATTTAAGGGCATGTTCATTCGAGATAAGGGCATGTTCTATGGTGTTTCAATGAAGGCTTAAGGGCATGTTTTGAGGCATTAGGGGCATATTTTAAGGGCATGTTTATTTAAGGGAATGTTTAAGGGCATGTTGAAGATTTAAAAGCATGTTTAAGGGCATGTTTTATACCGTCATCAGTCGTGGGAATTTCAAATCCTGAGTGAAAACCGTCGGACGGTGCTGGTCATTGGGGGGTGCGTCGTGACGATATGCTTGCACATGTTGTGCCGGTATCGCTACCAGGTACCAGGTACCAGGTACCAGGTACCGGTAATGCAGAATGATGAATCGGAGCAGAAGTGTGGCTCGATGCGCAGTTGCTCGTTTTCTATGTTCTGAGAGCGTTGCCGGAAGAGGATTCCTTGTTGACTGGCTGGGAGAAGAACGGAATGTACCATCCTCGCATGCAGAGTCCAAAAGCCGTATGAAGGCCACCAACAATTTACATTTTGGTCAGCAATACCGTGCCTGAACTTCCATGACAGGCTTCCACGTTTCCTGATCCGGTACCGTAGCTTCTGGCAAGTGCTGTAAAGGTACGGTAAATATCTCCCCGAAAACGAAGACACGCACACTGCCCAGTTTCTGTCACAAAAACCGGGAGTCCCGAGGCTGTCAAATTCCTTCAACGTACGGTTGGTCATATCGATCAATGTTTCTTCGAGGACAGCACCTTAGCGTGGAGCGGCTGAAGAGGAAGTGAATGTGAATTCAACCGTTCACGTCCACGCAGCAGACAGCGGTGATTCCAGAGAAGGATCCGAGAGCGCACAGCGCGAGCAGTTTTCGGCGGACGCAACCGAAATCATGGGTTCCACCCCGTCGTGTTGACCCAAAAGTGAAACGAAGGAGCGAAGCTGTCTCATAGATTAAACTCAACCTCCGAAACATATCCCAGCAACACAAATTCAGACCTTGATGACCGATCCGAAAAAGTAAGTGTGGAATATTGGTCGTAGAGTGATGTTGCAACGCCAATGGTATCACTAACAGCAAACAATCTGCCTACTTGCGACAAAGAACATGACGGCCACAATGATACTCTTGCTCTTGACAGCATTTCTTGCTGTGTTTCCTTGCGATGCTGAAGCCCAGCCAATCACTCCAGCCTTGCGTCGCCTCAGCTCTGGATGTACGAATCATGCTAGCTGCACAGGTAGCGACAACTACTGCGACATCAACAGTGGCCTTTGCGTTGAATGTGTGAACAATGAGCATTGCTCTGACCCTACAGACTACTGTGATTTGGACAGCCATACATGTGTAGCCTGCAACAACAATGTGCATTGTTCTGCCCCTATAGATGTTTGTGACTTGGATAGCCATACTTGCGTGGCCTGCAACAACAATGATCATTGCTCTGATCCTACAGGTTACTGTGACTTGGACAGCCATACTTGCGTGGCCTGCAACAACAATGGGCATTGCTCTTCCCCTACAGATGTTTGTGACTTGGACAGCCATACTTGCGTGGCCTGCAACAACAATGGGCATTGCTCTTCCCCTACAGATGTTTGTGACTTGGACAGCCATACTTGCGTGCCTGCAACAACAATGGCATTGCTCTTCCCTACAGATGTTTGTGACTTGGACAGCCATACTTGTGTGGCCTGCAACAACAATGATCATTGCTCTGATCTTACAGGTTACTGTGACTTGGACAGCCATACTTGCGTGGCCTGCAACAACAATGATCATTGCTCTTCCCTACAGATGTTTGTGACTTGGACAGCCATACTTGTGTGGCCTGTAACAACAATGGGCATTGCTCTTCCCCTACAGATGTTTGTGACTTGGACAGCCATACATGTGTGGCCTGCAACAACAATGGCATTGCTCTTCCCCTACAGATGTTTGTGACTTGGACAGCCATACTTGCGTGGCCTGCAACAACAATGATCATTGCTCTTCCCCTACAGATGTTTGTGACTTGGACAGCCATACTTGTGTGGCCTGCAACAACAATGATCATTGCTCTGATCTTACAGGTTACTGTGACTTGGACAGCCATACATGTGTGGCCTGCAACAACAGTGGGCATTGTTCTTCCCCTACAGATGTTTGTGACTTGGATAGCCATACTTGTGTGGGATGCCTCAACCATTCTCATTGTGGTGGTGCCAACAAGTATTGTGCTACCATTGCCAATACTTGTGTTCAGTGTGTCAACGATTCCCATTGCCCACCTCCCAAACAGTGTGTTAGTAACACTTGCATGTTGGCGTAGTAAGATACAAGGATTCTCGGAAGGTCGAGTCTTGGTCTTTCTACGGCTTTGGTACAGACGTTTTCGAGTGGAGAGTGCAACCTCTAAGATAGAAAGAACTATAAAATATCCATTTTGCTTCACAACTCTTCTCTTGGACAGCTTCTCGCTATTGCTTTCAGATTACTAGTAGCCAGAAAAGGACAATCGTACGATTTTCGGAAAGAGTGGCTGGATTAAATAAACTATGGCTTGCCTCCTGTTGTCAACTTCGAAGCAATGTCCAGCTCGCACACAGCGGCGACCGTAGACCGACCGTATGGTTCTTCTGGGGATCTACCAATGCAATGATGAGTCGTTGAAACTTTGCTTCCAGCACCAACGGCCCCTCCCCAATTGATGTTGTGGTGGCCGTGCACCCTACTAGCTACTAGTAGTACTATTACCAGAAAATGGATCATATAGTTTTGACATAAACATGTATCTATTAGTTAGTATGTAGGAAGTTGGATGACTTTTCTGAAGGAAGGAAGCATCGAAGTTTCAACGTTTCGGTATATGGTTGACGAAGTATGGTTGACGAAGTATGGGCAAGGGGAGACTTGCCGTTGAACCCCATATGTCGCGCCTAATCAAGCAGACGTGTGCGGCAAAAAGAAGCAATCGATGACTTCAATGGTTGTTCTTCATTTCTTTCATCATGTCCACGACAAGGTCGGGATTCATTTCGGACATGATGCCCATGATTTGGTTGCCACGCTTTCCCACTCTCCCCTTCTTGGATGAAGAAGCCCGCTTGCTCTCCTTGCTAAGGTTGCGTTGCAGCTTTCGGGCACTGACACGGCGGCGAGAGTCGTCCTTGCTTCGGTCCATGCTTTCTTTGCTGACGTTTCGTCGCAGCTCTGGAGGCATGAGGAAGGAACCATCACTGCTTCGGTCCATGCATTCCTTGCTGACATTGCGTCGCATTTCTGGAGGGATGCGGAAAGAACCGTCACTGCTTTGGTCCAAAAAGGCGCTGCTTTCTTCCTTATTACTTTTCTTGAACATTCCAAGCTTCATGATGGCAGCGTGCTTTTGACTGATGATTCTTGAGGCTCTTGTTTTGTGGCTCGTTTGAGATTTGAGATTGTGAGCTTGAAAGGAGGAGTGCAAAGAGGTGGCGAACCTGTCGCTTCACTTGTGCCAGCGGTACAAGTTGTACTACTCGCAGTACTGTAGCAACGAGGACGCGTAGGGCCACGTAGCGGTACCGCTGTAACGGTGTGCGACTGAGGTAGAGTGGTGGATCCACTGCATGACCGGTACACAGGCTACTGTAAATGGCTTTCGGAAAGTAGTGATGCGAGCTGTGGTCACTGACCTGCGTCCTGCTTAATAAGGTCACCGCAAGAACAGGATCAGCTACATAAATAGCCAAGACTTCCCTTATTTGTTTGCTTTCTGATGAACAGAAATACGAGTTGCTACACATCTGATTCGTCCGGAAACTGTCTAATTTCTCCCAAGTGTAAGGTAAAACTGTAGTTTCAACCTCTCGTTTTTAGTTTAGTTTTGGTGAAAAATACAGTTTCTTTTTGACACTCTAGCTAGCTAGCTAGCTAGCTAGGTAGTCTGCTACCTGCTACGGTCAGTTTCCAGTAGTAGGCTAATTTCAAAACTGTCAAAATCATATCAAGTCATGTTTCCGAACCTTGATGTCAGTGGTTTTTGACTCGTCACTCAGCTTCGCACAGCTTTGAAGCAGTACGACTGTACCATACTAGTACTGTACCATTGGTAGTACTAATATCATACATGTAGCATGGATTGGGGTTTGTAGGTACTGTACGGTAGCAAATGGTACCAGTACATCTGCCTCCGTGCGTACCGTTACAGTCGTATCGGAATCTGAGTATATTTATAACGTCTATTTAACTTCCAAAAACATCAGGTATGTAGCGGGCAAGCCTGGCTGCGTTCTCGATGCTGGCGTGCGAACAAGGCTTCTGCCACAAGCCTCTGCTGTGCTACATCGTACTGTACAAAATCAACAAACGGCAGCTTCTCTACTACAATGTACTGAATTTTTTAAGGGGGGATTAGAGTAGGGAAATTATCTACGGAAGCCAGCCGGGGCCAGGCTTAAGCAAAGAACAGTCGAAATTCAGGACTAGGTTCTGTGGGATCAGGGGCAAGAAATTGATTTGTCTATTGACTTCAAAGATGAAATCTGCTCAATTTTTGAACACCAGGCCAACAATTCTCCTTTGAATCTTTGGGATCGGTGCTCCAGTCTTCATGCAAACCCACCCAGTCGTCTACCATACTTTACAGTGTAGATTGGGTGCTGAGAGTGAAGACAGGAGCACCTTTCCCATGGAGAAATCCATTGCAAAATGACAACAAAATGGAATCGAATCCAAGCCTGATTTTTCATAGAAGCTCCATAGGAAACTTTGGAGATGACATATCCTGCTCAAGGAGAGTGCCTGTGAGTGTGTTGGGGAGCTAGTGCTCTGACCGGATAGGCCAGAACAATGTATTGGTAAAGCTAATAGCCATTTGGTCAACACTGTTGCCATGGTTGTAAAATTCAATTTTAATTCTTCTATATTTTGTTTTTATGAGTCAGTCATTTCAATGCAGGATTCGCGAAATGACCACTTCTTCTAGGAATGACCGCGTACGATTTTGGTTTGGACAAAACGAGTTTCGAAAAGTCGAATGAATCTGCACCGGAGGGCCAGTCCGTAGCCTCGATGCTGGCTTGCGCGGGTTTGGCCAGCGATGAAAACGATCTCCGCAGTACCAGTACACGATCTCCGCAGTCAAAGCAAAGGCAACAGACAACAAACATTGCATCCGAGGAATCAAACGAGACTCCCGGATTCAAGGAATCAGCAATGGTGTCGTTGATGTACCTGGAAACTATTCCAAAGGCGTCATATGAGGAGTGGAAGCTTGAGAAAAGCCGGCGACTTTCCCCCCGTCAAGCCAGCAACTGCGGCGAACTTGGTTGATATGGATACGCCAACCAAGAAACGACACCAAATCGCATACGTTGCTGAAAACCTGAAGTCATGGATCACTCGCCTCGAACCAGGAAATCCACTTCCTGCATTTGCAGTGGTGCGGAATGCAACTGCCTCATCCGTTCCTATTCCAGTCGACTATGACAGACATGGTCTCACATGGCGCTCTGACTTCCGGATCTGCATTTCCTACGACAACAATGCAGTCCAATGGCAGAGACTTGAGCTCCACTTCCCAACGATGGATTTTTCTACGTGGATGAAAAGCTTCTCCCAGTCCTTGCTTCTAATCATCGAAACAAGAAACACATGGGCACGTGCAGCGAAGGTTGGGCATATCTTGAGCAGTCTTTGTGGCCGCAGCTGTAAGATTTTGAGAAGTATGCTCTAGAGTGGTACGGTTACAATGACACCCAAAAGCTCCAGCGCCAGATTATGTACAATGACGCCAGCAACCGCATGGATATTTCCCTTCAATGCAGCACAACAACCCATGTTGGCATTGTCTTTGTGTTTGTTCTTGGATTCCCTGTGCTAGAAGTCCCAGATACCTTTTGGTTTTAAGTCGGTGATCAAGGCAAGACTTAGTGAAGTATTTATGGTTTGGGAAACTGCATCTTGAGCTGGTTTCGGGGGGGGGGGGCTCTGGAGCAGCCGTAAATTAAACCAATTACGTGATCATAATCTCCACCTAACAGCTAGTCGTTCTAGCTACTAATGACTAGCTAGAGCTCTACTAGTCACCAGCCACTTAATCCCGTCCGTACAGCCGCTTTTGGAGAGTTCACCGGCAATGCCAGTCACCGGACCAAGAGCCAAACATTGGGTTTTCTACCTAAACAATTACACAGCAGGAGATGTAGATATCTACTCTCTGAAAATGCAAAAATCTTTTTAGTCGATTGTCCCGGCTCTCGCAAAGACATCCACCTTCCTTACGATCTCTTGGTTTGTCCAAGTACGTCCCGCAGGATATATATATCCACCATCCAAACACTGTAGTTGTATTCATGAACGAAGTCCAAGATACATCCAAAGTATTTCTAGATAGATTCGTTGTTTGGTTCCGTAGAAAGGCAGGCTGGTCACGTGCCGCTCCAGGTGAAGAAGGTAAATGGACAATCCCCCTTGTAGAATGTGGCATCGAAAGCAAGACAATTCTTCACATAAATCAAGCTCAAGCAAAGGAATCTCGCAAACGCAAGAGTGAAGCAATATCAAACGCAAACCACTAATTATAGCTCAAACTAAACCTCCAGAAGCTCGAAGATCTAGACCGCAGAAACAACACCGGAGGAATTCCCCATGACAATCGTTTTGGCTTTGTAGGAGGAATAGAAGATATGGAGCATCAACAAATAGAGTAATGGGTCCTAACCCTTTTGGTAGAAACCGTCCATTTGTGGATTATACCTACACTCGAAGAACGCAAAGACCAAGAAAGGGAACTTCAAAATCAGACAAAAGTCCAACATGGCTTAGGGAATGGATAAAAAGCAAACCTATAAAAAAATACCAAACTAATTCTACCCCTGAACAATCAACCTCACCCCATCATCCCTGGAACACTCACGATAAAGTAAGGATTTCGGAATTAGAGCTGATTCTCTCCAATGTCGTAAATGTCGTAAATGTCGTAAATGTCGGAGAGGAATGTCGTAAAAAGCTTACGACATTTACGACATCCTACGACATTTATTAAATCCTACGACATTCTACGACATTCTACGACATCGCCAAATGTCATAAATTTTAAATCCGACATTTGGCGAGACTTTAAGTATTCCGAGTTGAGAGATTTAACGAAATGACCAAAAAGGCTTATAGCTATCTCTCTCGCTAAATGTCGGATTTGTCGGATTTAGCGATGAGAGAAAGCTTCCGACATCCTATGACATTCTACGACATCGCTTAAATATTTACGACATTCTACGACATAGATATCGGAATTTACGACATTTACGACATTTACGACATTTAAATCACTGTCAGGAAAGACTTATGCTTTCTATAGTGACTTTAAATCCTCAAATACGACTTTTCCGGGAGTGTTCCTGTCCTTATACTCAAAATAGGGTAGCCGTAGTTAGGAACAAAGTAGCTATCACCGATACAAGCCCCGTAAACAGCTTGTTTCCCCACGACTCGTGCGTAAACAGTTGTTTCCCCATGAGTTTCTTGTTTACGCATGAGTCGTTAAATCTCACTAGGAAAATCACACAGTTTACCCATGAGATCTTTGTTTACTCATGAGTAAACTACTAAAGCTTGTTTACTCATGAGGAAACAATAAATCATGAGAAAATGCAATACACGGCTATCACGGCTCTTAGCCTTATTCGCGACTCGATCCTAGATAGGGTTTGAGTTCGACTCATGACTGAGTCTCTCGTGAATAGTCATTGAGACAGGTTCTCAATGCCGCTCTAGTCATACTAGGTTGATGATGAAACATCGCTCTATATTTAGCCAGCGTGGAGTACTTCCACGCTACTAGATAAATGCTAGACGAACTTCCACGCGTTCCGTTTTGGATCGTGGAGTGAGTAGGATTGCTACCGCAACCTACTCTATCAACTCTACAGTCTCCCGCGGGAGTTCAGATCTACGATCCTTTGATTGTGGATCTCTCTCGTTGATTAGTTTTCATAGCTTTCTAATCCTCTCATAACTTTCATTCTCTCAAACTCAAACACTCGAAAGATCTTTACACTAGCTTTAGCGTAGTGCATTTTGTTAACAACACAATAGCTTTCAGCTACCCTCAACCTATTCCTCACCATGAAGATTGCCAAAGACGCGTACACCAGCTTCGAGTCTAAGCTCGCACAAACCAATCCTTCTCTCATCGACCTCGACGATGAATGCAAATCGACGATTCTCGCTCTACCACCTACAAACTTCGCACTGTTCCAGCAGATGCTAACAACGCCAAGTACACCTTCAAAGTCCAAATCATCAATGGATCTGAGACCCCACGTCAAACCATCAAGTGGCTGGACGATGGAGAAGGTCTTCGTCGGGCTCGCCATTGCTACGCCTAACGACAAACATAACCTCTCAAGGAGATGACTTCTAGCTCTGCCAAAGAGCAGTTACGAATCTAGCTGTTGCAGCCACGTGAAATACGTTGGAATGCCTTGCGCCAGATTGCAGTCAACGGCATTCCTCCACGCGACATACGTGGCGGTGAAGACGAAGCCACTTTCCAAGCACGTTTCCAGGCTGCCTGGAACGGAGCAGCTCAGCCTGCTTGGACGACGCTGACATTACGTTTGCATAAATGCCTGTATTGAAGCGGTCTGTCCCTACAAGGCTCTTGAAAAGCAGAAACGCTTCATGCGCCGCAAGATGCGTAAGCCTGCTGATATGTCTACTCGGGCTTATGTCAACAACCTCAGTCGGATGAACACCGATGAACTTCCTCGTCTACCACCTTTTGGACCCAACCAAACGTTGAACCATGACGAAGTCATCGACATTGTTTGTCATGGAATTCACGCTCGTGGAGAAGAGATGGACGAACACGACTTCGTCCTTTCTCAGCTCCTACGGAGAAACCATTGGATTCTGCGAACGCATGGAATCCTCCGAAGACTTTGACAAGGGCGGTGATACCAAGCAAGCTCCTTCGAAGAAAAACAACAGCAAGAATACAATCTACTCGCAACAACAATCACTCTTCAAGAACGAAGAAAAAGGTGTGACTACCACGAGTCCAGCACTCACAACACTGCTGACTGCATGACTCTGAAGAAGCTCAAGGCCAAGTCTCAGTCCTCGTCTGACAACAATAACAAGCCAGCGTACAACAAGAACAAGACTTGGAAACGCAAGTCCGACGACGCCAAGACCTACACCAAGAAGGAACTCTCTGTCCTCATGAAGAAAGTTTCCAACGCTGCGGTCAAGGCTGATCGCAAGAAGAAAGCGAATGCAACCATGTTCCAAGCGCAAGTCAGACAACTCGACAACGAGGACGACTCCTCTGTTGGATCCATCAACATATGGACAAGAAAATGGCTCGTTGACAAGGCGCTTGCCGAATTCGACTTCAATCATTCGGATTGAGAGATCTCTGCTGAGGATTAGGCCAGGATGATGATTCAACGGAACCATGTTCTGATTTCTCATACCTAAGTGATGAAGATATCTCACTAAATGTAAACAAGATTTGTTTGCAAACTATGAAGTCTACGGCAAATTAGATAATTGCCTAGCAATACTCAACTAGACTCTGACGATCTGTTCAGCATCGTTAACTTCGTCCATGGCCATCAAATCATCAACGTCGCAAGACAAGAGACCTCGAAACTATCGTCTATGTTAGATTTAACAGACGAGAGAAAGGGAACAAAAAACCCGTTACACTCTGTTGCTACTGGATACAGAGCATCCGGGACTTTAATTACCCAACTCATGCTAAGAGTTTACTCATGAAGAATCATTGGGGCGTCCAAGCATTACGGACTGCTTCTATGAAGAATTGAAACCCCGCACGAAGTGTAAGGGCACACTCGTGATTCCTGAGTTCCACGATATAGAATTATCGAATGGAATCTACACGTCACCAAAACTTGGGGCGCAAGACATGATCATAGGTCAAGACACTCTCTTCGACCTAAGAATCAAGTTTGAGTTCACTACCATGCATGGAGTGGACAGCGTATTTTTCCCTGCGAAAGATGCATACCATAGAAAGGAGAACTTCTCCATTCCCGATCCTGCAACTGTCAGCGACAATGCAGATAGTCTCAAAGAGATTCTTTATACGACATACGAACAAGCAGACTTAAGGCAGATGTGCCAGAGTCAAAACCAGTTAAATAAGGAAGAGCAAGAACTGCCTCATGCTTTTCAACCAAGTGCTTCGCCAGTCGAGGATACTTTGGAGAGTTGCGAATGGACGACTACGAAGTAGAACTTCGTCCCGACGCTAAATCCTATTATACTAGGGCTCACCCTACTCCACGGGTCCATACCAACACTCTTAGAAAGAGGTTGAACGTCTCTGCGAGGCAGGGATACTCAAGAAGGTGAATCGTTCCGAGTGGGCGGCACCAACTTTTATCATTCCCAAGAAAGAGGGATCTGTAGATTCACTCTGATTTCCGGGAACCGAACAAAAGGATCAAGCGGAAGCCTTATCCTATCCCAAAATACAGGACATGCTCTTGAACCTAGATGGATCAAGTCGCTACTAGTCTAGACCTGAACACGGGACACTACCACATCGAGCTGTCACTCACTCGAAGCAACACTGTACCATTGCACTCCCGAGGGAAAGCAGAGTACCAGAGGTTGCCAATGGGCCTATGTAATAGTCCCGACATCTTCCATAGGAAGATAACACCATGCATGACTTAGAAAATGTCCGTGCATACATTGATGATCAACTCATCCTAACTGACGTCGATCTGGCGGATCGCGTGAATAGTTAGATGACCTTTTCCAAAGACTTCAAGAAGTCGGGGTTAAAATCAACACTACCAAGGCCTTCCTCGAAAGGAAGAACTGAGTATCTAGACCATTGGACTACTCGAGAAGGAATCCAACCCTTAACTAAAGAAAATAGATGCGATCAAACTATCGCTCTTCCTAACAGAAGGACTTCGTGGATTCATTGGACCAATGAACTACCAAGGGCTGCTCCAAGACAGCAGACGGAGTAACCATCGTTCTGAAACAGACGTGGGTTACCCAGTATCCTGACCCGGTTGTCATGACAGAGAACGTGAGTCCCGCGCAGAGGTCGAGAAGACTCTCCGGGATGAACGTGGACTTCGTCGCAAGTTCACGCGCGTCATCGTGACAAGATTCACCACATCCGTTCGTTCAAAGCAAACCGGAAATACATTAAGGAACGTCGCCAACGACTTATCCAGAAAAACACCGATAAGGAGAACACGACACGTGTCCCTCATCAACACCATGTAACGATACTATGATGATTCTCAGTATCAGAACCGTTAGTAAGGTCAGCCACCAAGGTCCTTACCACACAGACCGAGTCAATAACAATGGCACTGTACGGCTCCGACATACTACCGCCAGTAGCGCACAGTCTACCAGACTTGGAACATAAGGTATTTAACCCATACAAGGCCTGATCCCCTTGTAGGATTGCCATCGTGCGACGCACATGTCTACATCCAATCTCCGAGAGTGCCCCGCACTTTATTCATATGTTCTCCTTGTCCGACTGATGTCGTGCCTTCCGTTACCCTTGTCAGGGGCGAATGCAATACACGGCTCTTAGCCTTATTCGCGACTCGATCCTAGATAGGGTTTTAGTTCGACTCATGACTGAGTCTCTCGTGAATAGTCATTGAGACAGGGTTCTCAATGACCGCTCTTGTCATACTAGGTTGTGATGAAACATCCTCTAGATATTTAGCCAGCGTGGAGTACTCCACGCTACTAGATAAATGCTAGACGATCTTCCACGCGTTCCGTTTTTGGATCGTGGAGTGAGTAGGATTGCTACCGCAACCTACTCTATCACACTCTACAGTCTCCCGCGGGAGTTCAGATCTACGATCCTTTGATTGTGGATCTCTCTCGTTGATTAGTTTTCATAGCTTTCTAATCCTCTCATAACTTTCATTCTCTCAAACTCAAAACACTCGAAAGATCTTTACACTAGCTTTTAGCGTAGTGCAAAAACAATAAATCCTTGTTTCCTTATGAGTAAACAAGATGTAACTGTTTCCTCATGAGTAAACAAGGATTTAACTATTTAATCATGAGTAAATAAGGTTGGAAGTATTAATAAACCAATGACTGTTCGTAAACCATTTTTAAAACCATTTGTCCATTTTCCGGGTCGCCCTGCGGGTCATCCAATGTTTACCACTGCCTCCGGTACCAGGTATCACTTCTTTATCACACTGCTACCGATGGTACCACTGTCTTCAGCGCTGTTTATCCCGACAGTAGCTGAGGACCATTCTTAACACAGCTTTTTGAAGCTTTTCAAACCTTCGCACCTTCGCCGTGATATCAGCTCGGACACCAACCATGATTGGGGAAAGAAGAAAAACCTTCGCCACTGCTCTGCCTACAATCTGTATAGACTGACGAAGATTTTTCTTCTTTTCCTATGATTGCTTGGTGA